CATGGGCATCGTTAAACCAAAACTCTAGAGACCAAAGGATTCCTGAAATAAGGGGTTTATGAAGGATTACAGATGCTAGCCAGAAAAGGAAAAGTTCAAATCCTCAGACGAGCTTCCCTAAGGGTCAGCAGTGGGTTAGACAGCAGTTGGAAAATGTCTGCTGGACCAGAGCTAAGCGCATTTTTGTGTCTTTGTTTCATTTTTGGAGATAGAGCCTCTTCTATAGTCCAGGTTGGCCTCAAAGTCGTGGCAGTCTTTTCAGCTTTCCTAGTGGTAGGATTACAGGCCTTAGTCACCATGCCAGGTGAAGGGCTTTTTAATTTCAGGGAAAGTGCTGCAACCCATATTGTCATATAATTTGTAGGGTAGGTTAATGCAAAGGAATAGAGGGAAAGCCTTGGGCTGGGAGGACAGCCCATAGGGTAATTTTTACTGGGCTGGGGACACAGCTAGCTGGTAGAGTGCTTGCCTAGAATATACAAAGTTCTGGACTGGATCTCCAACACCACATAATTCATGTATGGTGGCACACTCCTGTAGTCCCAGCACTTGGGAGGTGGAGGCAGGAGGAACAGGAATTAAAGGTATCTTTGGCAACATAGCAAGTTCAAGCCCAGTCTGAGATACATGAAACCCTATTCCCCTAAAATTGAGATGTTATTGTTTACAATCTGGAAAGTTCATAAACAGTGACCCCACTGATCTGTATCATACAATCTTAGGTTTTAATATGCCTTCATCAACAAAAAATGGCCTTTTCAGCTTGTACCTCCTCCCAATTATTCACTCTTCTGCCATGTCCCTTAGTAATTTAGGATATCTCAAGCTTTTATCAGCTTGTTCACCTCAGTGCTCTGACTCCCTTCCTATGTACTCGCCCGTCTGTTCTTGGCTCTTCTTGACCTGACTGTATTGGAGAGTCAAAGGGCAAACAGCTCAGCTTCAGGTAAAGACTGCTCCTCTGACCCCATTACTCTCTGCTTAGTGTCCTCCTCTGATGGTAGGAGTGCTCCCACAGAAGGGCCAGAGGGCCCGTGCCCACAACAATGGGCCTTGACACACTAAATTGGGTAAATTCTATGCAGTCTCCAAGAGGTCTCATTTCCTACAGTGGTAACTAGCTTGATACTGCCATATATATATATATATATATGAATGTGCTGGATAGCTTTAGTGTCAACTTGACACACTTGGGTTGAGGGAGCCTCAATTGGGGAATTGCCTCCATTGGACTGGCCTATGGCCATGTCTGTGGGGCATTTTCTTGATTGTTGAGTGATGTGGGAGGGCCCAGCCCACTGTGGGTGGTGCCACCCCTGGGCAGGTGGGCCTGTGTTGGATAAGAAAGCAAGCTGAGCAGGGGCCAGGGGAGCAAGCCAGTAAGCAACATTCCTCCATGGCCTGTGCTCCAGCTCTGCCTCCAGGTTCCTGCCCTGAGTTTCTATCTTGGACTCCCTGATGAACTGCAACCCGGGAGATGTAAGCTGAATAAACCCTTTTCTCCCCAAGTTGGTGTTGGTCAGTGTTGGGGAACCCTGCTATTAAGGTTGGCTCCTTTCTCAGCAGGAACTTCCTGCCTGACTTACCTGGAAAGTGCCGCCAAGCACGGATGCTTGGCCTCATTTAACATGACCTTTGGCATAGTTGCCTGGAGTAAAAACTACCCCCAGGTTTTTTCTATATGATAATTAGGCATTGCCCCATAGTCGGATGATAGGAGCCCACTGCCACATGTAAATAAAGCATACTATGAGCACCTATCAGCTGAAGCATTGGCTACTGCCTCCACACTATATTTCCGTAACTCACACTGAATAAAGAGAGCTGTTTCACTGAGTCTGGAGCTGTTTGTATCATTGAACCTGCCTCCCCAGAAGGGCTTTCTTCCGTCATTGGCCATCCTGACCTCGTTCGTCGCTTCTGCTCCTTTGTCCTCGTGGGCCGGTGGCCAACGACACGTGAGGAAAGGGAGAGACCCCACAGGTCAGAGTGTTTTGCACAGCAATGAAGAAACAAACTAGGACAGTAATTGGTACCAGAGAGTGGGATATTGCTGTGACAGACCTGACCCTGGTGTTTTGGGGAGGACTGTGGAAGTGTTTGGAACTTTGGGCTGGAAAAGCCATTGCGTGCTCAGAGTTTGTTGCAGTGGAGCTTGGAACAGTTATGCTGAAAGAGTTGTAGACGATGGAGGCCTGGCTTGTGAAGCTTCAAAGGGAAGCAGAGACTATCAGGGCTGTTTGTGTGAGATTTTGGATTGAGAATCTGTGGGCTCTGGTCGGCTGGGGCTGAAGAATCAGCTGTGATTAAGAAGAGACCAGAACCTGAAGTAAAACCTTTGCTTTACTGGAACAATTGATGCTGGTTAGCTGGGGCTGGAAAATCAGCTGTAAGTAACAAGAGACCAGCATCACTCTGAAGTCTTCTGGGAGGCATTTCCTCAGGGTCAGCACACAGAGGGAACCCGAGCCTCTATCTCAAGCTGGAAGCAGGATATATATATTCTTTGCCCCTCACCCACATGCAGCTAAAGTGGACTGATTGGGTGGGAAGGATAACTGACTCCTCCCTCGACTCCTTGATGTGTGTGTGAAATAGGTGTGACTATAGCCTGCTGCATAGTGGTTGGAGGACACTTCCTGTTAACACTCCACCCATTCCTCTCGCTCTTATGTTCTTTCTGCCAACCTCTTCCACAAAAGTCCCTGAGCCTTGGAGGGCATAGTAGGTGTGGGTTATCTTCCTCCCATTGTAGCAAGGCACTGAACTTTTGGGTCTCTGCTGTGCTTTTTTCTGTCTAATGATGTGAGTTTTGCTAAGGCATATTACTGGAAATGAACTTGTCCAGTCATAAGAAACATGCATGTATAATTTTATTAGGCAGAGTAGAAAGTACTTGTTGCTAACCCTAAAACTCATTTTTCCTCTATTTGTAGTTAGATTCATGAAAATCTTCACCCTCCTTACTGTTAAAATAGTCCACTTAACTAAATTGGAGCCAGTAGTATATAATTAGAATTTTACCTTAAAATTAAATGGCTAGGTTTTTTTTCCTTTTCTTTTCTTCTGTTCCTTGACCCTTTCCTGTTGGTCTCTGACATGGGACGGCATATATATAATGGCTAGAAAC